CCACTCCTCTTTAGAAAACGTATCAAAAAAGTCTTCACACAACAGTTGTACGTCTTGCCTCTTAAATGTAGTGTTGTTACTAGACATATTGTTTCAATGATGCCCACACTAATTCGATCGGATTAAGATCGGGATGATACGGTGGCAAACGCAAACAACTAAAACCATGTTCATTTATCATTTCTTCAATTGCATACCTCTTAGCTTTTTTAGAAGTTGACGTTGGTGCTTTATTTACCTGGACATTATGGTAAGGAGCATTATCAACAATAATGACGCTTCTTGGAGGGAGGTTCGGAAACAGCTTTTCTTTCAACCATTTAGAAAAATTATTAAAATTCATTTCATCGTGGTAGTCTCCACTTTTGGTTCCAGATTTGAAAATTAACCGGGCATTCGGAATAAAGCCCATTTCACCTCCTGCATGGACAATAATTAGTCTATCACCTTTATTAATTGGTTTCTTTAATCCCTCATTTGAATTATCACTCCAAGCTTTCTGGTGTGTGTGGGAGGCATGAATGTATGTTTCATCTAAGTAGACAATTGGACGGCCCTCTGCTCGATAACTTTTTAAACGAATCAGATAGTCTAAACGTAGCTTTTGAATATCAAACCTTTCCATTAATATTTTTCTGTTTGTTTTTGTTTTCCGCCAACGAAATCCTAGCGACTTTATTATTTTTCTTAAACTTTCATAGCTTCCTTTGTACCCTGTAGCTTCTCTAAATTTGGTCAGAATTGTTTTTAATGTTGGAACAATATTTTCCGAGATTAACATGAACAGAATAATTCTTTTTAAAATACCTTTGTCAGCTTCATCTATATCATTAACTGTTTTTGGTTTTTTAATGGTTTTTCTTGGTGATGAAAATTCCGATATCTCACGGTTATCGATTCTTTTTTTCTCTCCAGAAATGCGGACGACAGTGTTTTTAAATACTCCTGTGGCTGCAGCAACACGATCATTTACATTTTTAAATGGTATTGAAGGTGAATTAAAGTTTCCTTCTCTTCTCATAAACTCTATAACATTGGCTATTATTTCGCGAGATTGACTGTTAATCACGCGGCCTCTTAATTTGCTATTAAACTCCATACTTAGGTTCTATTAACTGTAATGAGCAAAAAACACAAACGAAAATAAAAGAAATGTTTTAGCGAAATTTACATCTGACATTTACGTCTGAATAAAATAGTGAAATACTTGATGCGCAGAGTGTACTTTCATTGCGTAAATCCGTCGGCCCCTCCAACCGATGCCTCTCAGTAGTGCTTTCTCTGTCTAGCCGTCGAAAGCCTCTAGAAATTTGATGAACTGTAATCATCATCATATTCATTTACCAGCCCCGACACAGTTTTTTTGTTTATTATAGACAAAACTTCATCATATACGGAGTTTGGGTTGACAACTACAGGAGGCCCACCTCCTGTGCCATATAAATTACGGTTTGCATTGCCCGAAAATCGTCTAGCTGCTGTTTTCAAATTGTCATATTTACTTTTCATTTGAGCTATGGACCTCATGGGATTGCAGCTATTAAATGCATCTGCAATTTTACGCCAAGCTTCTTCCTAAAATTAAATTTGAAATCGTAAGTCTACTGCAAATTATTACTTATTATTTTATTACCTTTTGACTAGGTAACACTGAACTAGTCGTTTTGTTCTCAATTATATTTTTATGGCGAGATATAATGCTTAGTAAAGCTAATTCTTCTTCTTTTGAAAAATTTGTCCCACGAATTCTCTTGCCTTTGCTTGTAGAAGCCTCATTGTATGGGTGGAACGATATAACATTTTTGTTAGACATTTTCTTAAACAAAAGTAATTCAGCGGAGTAAAAAAATATTCACAATGTTCAATGTTCGTAGTGCTCAACAAAAATATATCATACCCTCGTTTAAGTCGTTTATTTAAGACTGAAGTCACAGAACACCAAAATTATATAAAATAGTGTTGCCAACTACGTTAAATAACACTTTTGTAAAAGTAACTCTGTTTTGAGATTATGAAACACACTTACTTTAAAAGGCACTTTAAATTTTAAAGTTACTTTAGTTAAAGTGACTTTATCATGTTTATTATGAAAACGGCTGTAAGACATGACTTTACCCACTTTTGCATCATACAGAATGAAAGAAAATATTATTACCGTAATTTACTTAACAATAGGACAAATAAATATAATACAATTCAAACATCTGTCTACCATCTAAATGAACGCAAAAGACGACAATTTATAGCCACAAAAGCAGGTTATTGGTTTCCCAAACCCTAAAATAATAAAGGGCTTTGATACTTGATTCTTATGATCATAAACCAGAAGGGCTTAGTTTATTAGTTGTTGTGGCTGGATTTACAATAATTGATTTTTATGACCGTAATTCTAATTATTAATTATTGTCCTATGAAATAAAATGAAATTCCCTGACAATGAAATGAAAAAACTACCCACATAACTTAACAATTACAATTTACTAAATTCTACCCAAATAAGATTTGTTCCCCCTTTAAACACATAATTAATTACAAAATGATACCTGTAATAAAACCATGCTGCAATAACTGCCCTCCCCCGGCTGTATACATGACTACTATACAAAGGACACTAGGTAGGAATGTGCGTCGAAAATGCTGATCTCGAAATTCGTACTAGAACGGGGTTTCCGCGATTCAAACCGATAATCGTAGCGTCTAAGAGAAGATACAATTATCGCTAAAATCTACGTACGGGGATCCACACAACAAAGAAAAAGATATCGTCGACAAAAGTAGAACGACAATCGCAATACTTTTAGTCGTTTTCCACAAGTTTTATACGATTGGATCAGAGGTACTAAAAAACTCGCTATTTCTTTATCCGGCGTCGTCACCATAGGCAACGGTTCACCAAGACAAGTCACGCAAAGAATCCAATAACTCGGAAATACAATTCTACAAAACCCTTAGAAGAGAGAGAAATTAAGCTCTTTTAAAACGTCCGTCTGTTTGGTCACCTGATAGGTAACACATAACTACCTCTCGATATACAAATATATAACGAAAGAAGTCACCTTAAAGGTAACGGTGTATAGTCGTTTCATAGAGAAAATAATTTTTCCTACGACCACTTAGGAAAGTGACACATATCACACTATATAGTCCTATGGAAAGTGTCCTATATCACACGCGTATGACTAAGAATTTACTTTCCACCCAAGTGAGAATATGTTACTTTCCGCAGTAGTTGTCAAAAAATGTCAAACACCTAATTTCTATTTTGATCTATGTAATGTCCATATTAATACTAAAATCGATATGATTGTTAAATTATTGAAATTGTTTTAAATTAGATCCTAGATATTTGTCTTTAACAATTATTATTAAAATAATTTTAAAATAACTAAGATTATGTTTGCTCTTTAATTTGGGTAAATACATAACCGATTATATCATTCAATTGACGTAAGGCCCATTAGCTCAGTTGGTTTGGACGTCGAACTTATCAACTTTGCCATTTTTCGACCGCGTTCAATCTATGGTTCAAATCCTGGCGGAGCAGAATTATTTTTGTTTTTTTTTTTTTATTTTTTATTAGTTTTTTTTTTATTTAGAAAATATGAAAATTGAATAAATACGATTATTGTTGATTATTTTTTTAAATACATTTTAATTAATATAGTAATAACCTTGGTTTTACATTTTTTGATATTATTTTGTAAGCTAATTTCTATTTTTATCTATGTTATATCCATATTAATACTAAAATCGATATGATTGTTAAATTATTGAAATTGTTTTAAATTAGATCCTAGATATTTGTCTTTAACAATTATTATTAAAATAATTTTAAAATAATGTTTGCTCTTTATTTTTGTTAAATACATAACCGATTAGATCATTCAATTGACACAAGGGCTGTTAGCTCAGCTGGTTAGGACGTCGAACTTATCAACTTTGCCATTTTTCGACCGCGTTCAATCTATGGTTCAAATCCTGTCGGGGTAGAATTTTTTTTTTTTTTTTAGTTTTTTTTTGTTTAGAAAATATGAAAATTGAATAAATACGATTATTGTTGATTATTTTTTTTAAATACATTTTAATTATTATGGTAATAATAACCTTGGTTTTACATTTTTTTGATGACATTATTTTGTGGTCGTAGGAAAAATATTGTACATCACTTGTGTGAAAAGTGATTTTCCACACTCGTGTGATAGTCGCACTCGGCTTGCGCCTCGTGCGACAATATTTCCCACTCGTGTGAAAAATGTCACTTTCCACACTCGTAATGTAATATACTATATCTGCTCCCTCGATATCTTTTACTGCGTTTTCCAAATATAACAAAAAAAGCTGTCACCTTATAGTTAGACGAGATAAACCAATCAATATACTTGAAGAGTATATAGAAGGGAGTCACCTTAAAGATAACTGAATCTTACACTTTTGTTGTCAACTGGACGTGAGAAAGGCAGGAAGAATTCTAACCCTGTTCTTACTTTTGAACCCCGTATTTATACTTTAATTTTCCCATTTAGTCAATGCATTAGACAAAGTAAGATTGAGTAACGGGCCTACTCAACTTTCAGGTAACATAATACCCAGAAAAACAGCCCGAACAGTATACGGCTTGTCCCCTGAGTTCGAGTTTGCCTTTCAACAATTTACACCCGATGAACAAAAGACGTGCAAAATAGAAAGCGATTGATATTTCCTCGAAAAACGCAACAAACTATTTAAAGAAAAGAATAAAAAAATATCAGACCCAGGGGCGTCGCGTTTCAGTTTAATAATCTTTAATAATTATTAAATAATTAACCTTGTACATAATTGCACTCGTAACATAATTAAACGTGCTTTTATGTTCAGTGTTATTTAAATAATATATTAAAATTTGGAAAAATGTGAAGCGTGACAATATACTAGTAGTTCAGTGTCAAGCATTTTGACAGGATACAAAACATACATAAAATAAACGTGGTTGTACATAACTTTACTTTTTGTTTTTATGTAAGGCTATTGATGAAGATGGCGAATTTGATAATGAAGAAGACGGAGAAAAGGAAGTTAAAAAGAAGAGAGGACGGAAGAAGAAAAGGCGCGATGATTCTGATGATGAAGCAGGGCCATCAAAGAAAAGAAAAATACATTCGAATAATCCTGAACTAAAGTTGAAAAAGAAATTGAAGAAACTTATTGATGTTGTCATTAATTATAAAGACAGGTAGATAATATTTATTTTTACTCATACTTATCTTAATCTATGTAATATTCATATTTTAATTGTTTTTATTCTCATTTAGTCTCGAAATTAAACTGAAATAATAGTAGGAGACATGTTTAAAAAGTGAAGATATAACTACTAACAAGTTGCACATCGACAAACTTGAATGAATCTCTAATAGAATTGGACCATATTTCAATCTGTTATTTAAAAATATCGGTAAACTGACATTGTTTACATGTTCTATCAACTTCGTAAATGTTTTTTAGAAACATTAATATTTAATTTTTTAATGATTTGAGGAAACTCAATCTTATTTATTTGAATTGTACTAATCATAGTAACGGTTCACAGTGTGTTTCAAAAATAACGATATCATCTAACTCTACTTTTTGTCTGAATTGACGTTGAAGTTTCTATTTTAAGGGATTTACATGTAGTTAAATATTTAAAGAGGCTTTGTGAATAGGGATGTTATTTATCAAAACGTTTACTGCTACATAATGCTATTTTTCTACATAATTACTGCAATATTGTTTCAGTACCTGTTAAGTTTGGGTAATAGTTTCTGTATCCCAGAGTTATAGATTTTTTTGCCTGTACCTGAAACGACATTTCAATATTTTTGAATTCGGTACCATCGTAAGAGTCTTGCTCTTTAAGATTTTTCCTTAGCTAAATTATAACACATCTTTCCACATATAGCCGATATATCTTTACTTTTTGGACACGCCTCGTATTAAAAACATCAAGAGGATGACTTATAACTGACGTAAATTTATTTTAGGGATGACAGGCAACTGAGTGATCCATTTATGAAACTTCCTTCAAAAAAAGAGTTGCCTGCTTACTATGCTTTAATCAAGAGACCGATTGATATATCTAAGATTTTAAATCACATTGAGGAGGGCAAGGTAAATCTTTATTTATTATATCCTACGGTTACAAGATTAACGTATCGTATTTTGACTTTAAAGTGAGCATGATGGGTTTCAGATTTATTTGTCCTCGTCAGGTAAAAAGGACCTCACACCAGCCTCTTAATAGCCAACGACCATGTAGGAAGCCGATTATATTAAACTGTTTCGATAAAAATCAAATTTCAAGACAGATGGTCTAAGAAATTACGAAAAAAATTAAAAGAGAATATTAATGTATAACTTATTCTCGTCTCATATCGCTGCTAACAGTATTTTAATTACCTTATCCTATTGTTACTTTTACCCTCAACATTCAATATCGAGCGCTGTTCTTGTGGGATTAAGGGGTGGTCTTATCCTCTTCCACATATAGGGGCAACACTGAAATTGTCTTGTGAAACATCATCCCCCGCAGCGACATAATCTCAGTAAAAATTGTATATTTTGAATATGTTAATTACGTATACCTCATTATTTATCATCAAATTTTGATACACAAACTTTATTGGAAAGTATTCTACAACTTATTTTACACGTAATTTCAAAAGCATCGAATACTTTTTTTGAACCTCGAGGTTTCTTTTACTATGTGTCTTCCCTTTATCGACACTATATGTATTACTTCCATGATCTTTTAAATGTTTGATGGTTGCTACAAACTACGACAGTCAGGAAGCCTACGATTTGGAAATTGTTCACCTTAAAGAATCTGGGCTTGACGAGCATTTTCTCCAGTGGCCTCATAGTAAAAGAGTAAAAAAATCATAGAATGTGCCTGAAAGTTTTTAACAAGATTTTTGCCAACAACGCTTAAAACTTAATTTGTAGGCTGTCTGATTATGACCAAGTCAGAGTCGGTGATCTAGATTTGTACATGGCCTACACCAATTTTAGTGGCTTACTACTGATTTAACATTTGTCAAAATTTAATCAAGTACTCACTCCTTTAATGATGGATATTTTTGAATATTCTTGGAGAGTATTATTCTCCTATGAGTTACAAGACTCGACTATAGTTGAATCAGTCAATTATAGGTAGTAAAAAAATGTGTAATGGAATGCTGAAACCTGTCACCTGTCACAGCTCCAAAATTCGTAGGGATTTTCGGAGGTTACAGGGAAGGAGAAAATGTTTCCAGTGGCGAACGATTGTATGTTTTACAAATGTATACGTCAAAATATGAACTTTAATCTAAATATATAAAATCATTTGTCCTGGCTTACTAACTGACTTATCTATCAACACAGCCAAAACTACTAGGCCAAGAAGGCTGAAATTTAGAACATAGGTTTATTTTATAACGTAAACATCCGCTAAGAAAGGATTTTTGGAAATTTCAACATTAAAGGGGGAATTGGGGTGAAAGTTTGTTTGGGGGTATCGATTTTTTTAAAGGTAGGGACTTAAAAATTGTAATTCACAGGACTTGTGACGTATGCTGTGACGCGGATTGCGTAAGGCCTCGAGAATTCAAACGTTCCTCAGGATTGGTTTTTAAGATTTTTGAACCCAGGTACTACTTGATAAAATTAAATATTATTTAATGTTTTAATATGTTGTATATTTCAACAATGAACATTTTGTATGAAACTCTTATTGTTGTATTTTTTAAAAATCCAGGTATATTTTGAAAATTACTTGATTATTATATCAATAATTTTTATTCTTTACATATCACTAAATATTTCTATTATCTAGATATGTCAACATTGCGTGAGAGAACATGATCTTTTCCCTCATCTCATCTTATAATGTGACTTGTTGTGAATTGTTGGAACCTGGCAATGTGTAAACAGTACTAGCTGTATTCTTTCTAAAGGATGTTTTTTAAGGATGATATTATTTTAAAAAACAATCGATTACATTAACATTTAAAAATTATTTGCGGCATGTGGTCACCGCGACTGTCAGTAAGATAGCGTATTCTTTTGGTTTAATTATTTATTTATTTATTTATTTACGGATCAGAGCCCATTAAAACAATACAATTACAGAGAATACATATCACATTCATTAAATTATGGGTGACTTGTTCGAGCACTTCTGGACATGTCGTGAATAACACGAACAATGTTGGCTTCTAAGGCTTCAGTTGTTTTTGGTTTATCACATGACATAGCCCCACATAACATAATCTAGGAGCGTCACATCACAAGACCTAGGCGGATAGTAAACGGGTCAATTTTTTGAAAAAATTTGTTTGGCGAACCGATGACTCACTTTCAAAGTAAATTTGAAGAATTTGAGAGCGTTGTTTAAGCGTAAATCTATTCACGATAATTTTTCAAAGTATAATAATAATAATAATAATAATACAATAATAATAATATTGAGAATAAATAAATTTTATAAACAGTGCCAGACTGACTGTTCAGTTTGACAGTACTTGTCATGTAAAGTTCTATCAAACCTATAAAAACACCCTTTACCTATATCTATAGTTTCAGTCTAAGTAACATGAAAATAAAATACAATTTATTTATTAACCGACTTCAAAAAAAGGAGGTTATCAATTCGTCAGTATGTATATATTTTTATGTATATATTTTTATGTATGTTCAGCGATCATTCTTTAACACGGTGCCCGATTTCAATGATTTTTTTTTTTCTTAGAAAGGGGGTACTTCAGGTCTGGTCCCATATAAGTTTGGTCAAAATCTAATAATTGGGTCCATGAGAAAATCCTCAAACTCTTCATTTTTCATGTATGTTTAGCGATAATTTTTTAACACGTCCGATTTCTATGATTCTTTTTTTTTGTTAGTAAGGGGGTACCTCAGGAGTGGTCTTATATAAATTTGGTCCAAATTTAATGATGGGTCTAAAATCATCAAATTCTTAATTTTTTATGTATTTTCAGCGATAATTCTTTATCATATTTTACGATTTCCATGATTCTTTTTTTGTTAGAAAGGGGGTACCTCAGGGGTAGTTCCGTATACAATTGTCCAGGATCTGATGATCTATGAGAAAATCAAAAATCTTCATATTTAAGGGCATCTGCACGATTTTGAAGTCGCTTTTTTAATTAAAAAATTATAACGTACTAATTAATTTATATAAGACACTATTATAACTCACAATGCTAATTTATTTATTACAATTTGTCTTTACTGCCCAACACTTCATTTAAAACTGCTCGTCCGTCGACAACTCGCACTATTTATATAAATCCAGCTCTGTACCAGTAGTTTCTAGACGATTTTGAATGTCCGAAAATTTCATCTCTATGACTCAACGGCCACGTACCGCTTTTTCTGGTAGTTTCGGGAAGCGGTGCGTTTGTCTCTATATGGCCAGCACTAGACATCATACCGCGGGCAAAGTACAGAAACGGCTCCGGGTCACAATATTCTCAGTTAACATTATTTTATGGATTTTTTTTAATATTTAATCTAAATCGCGGTTTTTATTTTCATGTTCATTAGACTGAAACAGCCGACGGAAAAGCGAGTGCAGCTAGTGAGGCGATTTTTTTGCTCTCAAGTATAATATTATTCTGGTTGTACTGATAAGTTTTATATGTATAAAATTATTAACAATTTTTATGTTTTCAGTATTGCAGTTTCTCAGATATGGAGCGTGATTTTACAACTCTTTGTCAGAATGCTCAACAATATAATGAAGAGGCGTCCATTATTCATGAAGATAGCATTGTCATTCAACAGGTATTTTCCAGTGCTAGAGAAAAAATTGAAGCCGCACCTGATTCTGAAGATGAAAAAGATCATGAAGGAGAAGGTAAAGGCAAACACAAAAAAGAAAAAGACAAAGACAAGGTGAAGCGGCAACGTGGAAGACCCAAAAAGGTGAAGAAAGTATCTGAAGGAGAGGAAGAAAATCAATAAAATCAATAAGAAAAATGGATAAAATTATATTAATTTATATTAATTGCTCTTGTGTATATAAGAGTATTAGAAGTAGACACTAATAATTGAATATTAATATTTTAAGCGAGTTTATGTTTCCACACAGATAGTATTAAATAATAAAACTAACGTTTATAACTTATAAAACCTATTTTTTGAACCTTTATTAATTTACTCAGTCAGTACTTTGTTCCATAGATGGAATATAAATCAAATCAAAATCAAATTCTTTATTTGTACTAGGGACAATAAACAAAGTGTATTGTGTTGTACACGTTAATATCCATAAATATAAAGACGAAACTAAAAATTAAAATTGATGCCAAAATACTAACTGCAAGATGTTTGAGTATTATTGTACGAGCTAGGTCGACTTACTGAGTAAGAATGGCGTATTTACCAAGACCAGAGGAAAACCTAGCAAAACCCATAGTGACATAATTTGCAATTGGTAATTACATCAATTATACTGTTTACCACCATTTTACCACATATTCTTGTATTGAGTCAGAACCAAACAAAAAAATAAAACAGAAAAACAACTAAACAACTAAAAAGGGTCCTATCTTATTTCTAATCCCAACTTATCACATGTATTTGAAATATTTAAGATTGTAGCATCAACTAGTGAGTAGGGCTCAATATCAATTAAGATATTTCTAATGGTTGATTTACATCTATCTACCTACATTTTTACATAGCGTGGAAACATATAAAATTGTATGCATTTAAAATAGCGTCCCTTTTCAAATAGTGTTTTTTACGTTGGTACTACAAAACTATCTACTCCGCTGATTTTCAATTACAAAATTTATACAAGAATATACATATGCACCAACTAACGTCATCAGATTTGATTGTCTAAAAAACCCTTAACACGAATCTCTAAAATTCAACCCAATTAGTATTCTCAATACTATCACAAAGACCTCGTAATTTTGAGATTCCCAGAAGATGATTCCGTAACATATAATGGAACAAAAGTATCCGAAATAAGCGGATCTCAAAGTGTTTTGATTTACAACTTGACCAATTCTTTTAGAGCAAAGCAAGCCTTACTTAGCCTATCACAGAGATTGCCCACATAACAAGACCATCCCAAATTCTCATCTACTCTTACACCAAGAAATTTTTCAGAGCTCACATAATTAATTTCTGTGATGTTTATATTTATAGCATTTTCATAATCGTTCTTATTTCTACTGTGTCTAAACAAGATACAATTTGTGTTGGACATATTTAATACTAAGGAATTTTTTAGAAACCACTCTGCCGTTAATGATGATATGTGCATGGTATCTTATTTCAGATTTTCATAATCGGTACTGGCTATAAAAATGTTTGTATCGTCTGCATAATTTGTTAATGTTACGGAAAACAAGTCTATCAGATTTGATAGGGCATTAATGTAGAGGAGAAATAGCAAAGGACCTAAGATACTTCCTTGTGGTACACACCCATATTTATCGATTCTTGTTCTGAGAAAAAAAGTGCATTATTTATTTTCATTCAAACTTTTTGAGACCTTGCATTCAGATATGATTTAAACCAATCATATGATATTCCACGTACGCCAGTAACGTCTAATTTCTTTAATAGTAATTGGTGGTTTTCACAAAGGCCTTCGACAAGTCTATAAATGCACCATGCACCACAATACAGCCATTATCCAGGTGATGTAGAATGCGTTCCACAAAATAAAAAATGCTGTAGTTGTAGATTTGCCCCTTTGCAATCTATGTTGAATAATGGTGATAATTCTATTTGTAGCAAGAAACTTAGTAAGGCTTGACTCATTGCAATTTTAAATTTTTTTGAGAAGCTGGATAGCAGGCTTATAGGTCTATAGTTTTCTATTAAGAATGGATCTCTTTTATACTTTCCTATCTGTATACAGGAAAGTATTATAGGAATCATGATTTTTTTTGACCTCCAGTTTTCGACGGATTTTTACGTTTTGGGGTCGGTCCCCTGAATCCGTTTTGACTATTTTCGGGATGATGTCTGTGTGTGTGCGCGTGCGTGCTTGTGTGCGTGCTTGCTTGCGTGCTTACGTGCGTGCTTGCGTGCGTGCGTGCTTGATTGCGTGCGTGCTTGCTGGCGTGCGTGGGTGCGTGCGTGCTTGCGTGCGTGCTTGCGTGCGTGTATGCGTGCGTGCCTGCGCGTGTGTGTGTGTGCCTGCGTGTGTGTGTGCCTGCGTGTGTGTGCCTGCGTGTGTGTGTGCCTGCGCGTGTGTGTGTGCCTGCGTGTGTGTGTATGCCTGCGTGTGTGTGTGCCTGCGTGTGTGTATGTGTGTGCCTGCGTGTGTGTGCGCGTGTGCGTGTGTGTTTGTCGGGAAATCACTGTGTGGCCATGCGCATAATTCATACTATAGTAGTGTGGCCATCCTGAATTGTGTGGCCATTTTTGGGACCCCACAAGTTAAAAGCAGCTTTAATGCATTCTACACGTTATGCTGATTCGAATGGTACCTACTTTAATACATTCTCCCCAAAAGTGATGTTATAGGTTGTGCCAAAATGTGTGATAATCGATGAGACGAGAGCAAACATTGTGTGGACAAAGTAGTTGATCAGCAATTGCTCTTTAACCTCTTCATTCGGCGAATTATTTTACACGGATTATAACCTACCTTACGGGACAAGTGCAAATATTTAAAAGTTTTGAATATGTTATTTTATTATATGGTACAGCGCGATGTTGCCGCTTCTGTAGTTGCTTGTAACTATTGAATATTGAATAAGTGTCTTGCGTATTTGAATAATGTACGCGTCGGCCCAGATACTTTTATTTATTATACAGGGAACAGAGAGTCGAAAAGACGCTTCTAAAACATCGAACTGTGCACTAGTAGATATACTTCTAAAAAAGTATGAACTATGTGGGGAATGACCCTGCGGATGCAAATTCAGAAGGATCCGTTAAATTAGCAATTACAAAACAATAAAAATATATTTTTTTAAGGTGAAGGGTGAGAAAAAGTCCTTTATATCTCACAAGGAAAGTCAATGTTTAATTGTTTAACAAAACATTGAGTGCGACCGGTTTCGAAGTGTCATCACTTCATCTTCAGGCTCGCCTAGTGGAAAGGAGAATATGTGGTGTAAGGTGTGTTAACTTGGAAACAAAACGATATATAAAATAATAAAAAAGAAAACTCACCATACTCTCCATCCACTAGGGAATACTACAAAAACAAGTTTCATCAATTTTGGGTTGAAATAAATTGTAAAATGAACCGATTTACACGTAATAAAAAGTTAAAAATATTTGAAAAAACAAATATTAGTCAATTATAGTAAAAATTTAAAATATTCAAGACTATACAAAAACAAATCACATACATTAAACAGATTAAAAGATAAGGCCTATTTTAAACATTGTTGTTTTTTAAAAAACATTGGTCTATATCTGCTACTAGGGTTAATCAACGACGCCGGGAGTACGCTACCCCTAACTGGGAATTTTGACGAACTCTCTGATGTCGCAACCATCAGAAATAGGTAACTTTAACAAACCCAACATCCATGTACTGAGGACCATCGGCTTTATGCCCCTTCCGAAGAACAGCATATCCTCAATATTCCTCTACTTAATGATATAGTACCTACGAGCTGTGGCTATTCAACTACTAACCTCGCTGGACCGTGCTTGACTTCGGATTTCGATAGACAATTAGTTGTCAACCTGATTAAGCTGGGCCCCCTTGCCTTGAAGTTAAACATACATCTCAAATTAAGCTATGTTTGAAATTTCGGACATTAAAATTTTCAAATTACTTATATTATTAATTTCCTATCTGTAATTTTTTCGAGTTAGATGTATGTGGAAAATGAATATATTTAGTTTATCCTCTAAACATTTTTAGAGGTGCTGCAATAGGTTGTAAAAAATAACCGGAAAAAGCCTATAATAACTATAGTCTGTTCGCTATACTTACGCGGGTTTCGGATTAACAAAATTATGCAAATTAGTCATTGACAACCAGTTCCAATAAGCCTCTTCCCAAGAAATTAGGTAAAATTGCCCTATTGGTCAAATTTAAATTAAAATAACATTAGGGTAGGTACTAAATTTGTTACTAATAATTAATTAATTAATCCGAAACCCGCGTAAGTATAGCGAACAGACTGTAGATAGGAAAATCATGTGTTGGACACATCAGCTTGTTTTGTCTAGTTATTTAAACCCAGTTCTATCCAACATATTATTATCCTTTGTTGGAAAAACTTTAACTTTCTAATTTGGTTATAAAAATAAATAAAAAACGTGAACTGACATATCATATCTAATAAAACCGTCAAAAATGTATACATTCATAGCATATTTTAAAATAAAAATGGCATCGCTTTAATGTTTCAAGAGTAGATAGAGTATTATTTAAAACTGAAAACTGTTAATCCATATGAAGTCTAATAATTTATAAACACTTAAGTATTGTTCTTCTCAGTAAAGGTAGTTGCGAAATTTACCTTATTCTTAACGAGTCTTCAAATGATGTGACAACAATGTGTGTGTATGACCCCATTATGTTGGTAATAACTTAATTTCCTATAAAAAGCGCGACCTTGACAAAAAAGTGTGTAAGGGAGTGTGTATGGCCACATTAGACATTATACCGTAATATATAACCATATCTATCTTTAAGAGGACTGACCCCCTAAGTCTATTAGCATAAAAAATGGCAAAAGAAGGAGTGTATCTAAATAATTCAAATAGCTATAAATAGATTAAAAGATTCTACATAAAGTACATGTAGAAATTTCATTGTCCCCATAATTCACGTCAGTGTCATGTGGCCGCACAATGATTTCCCGTGTGTGTGTGTGTGTGTGTGTGTGTGTGTGTGTGTGTGTGTGTGTGTGTGTGTGTGCGTGTGCGCGTGCGCGTGCGCGTGTGCGTGTGCGTGTGCGTGTGGGTGTGTGTGTGTGTGTGTGTTTAGTTTTGATGGGAAATCACCATTCGTAAGGAATTATTTATTATGTAACATAACGGCTCAAGAATATATGAAGCAACATTTTTAATAACCAAATTTTAAATATCTTTACCTGCAGACAGCTTGTTTTTTAAGTTTTTTATTATTTCCGATAGCTCTTCTATTGTAACATCTGCTAGATATATAT